TTCTTAGATTTAAGTTACATTTGTTAATGTTGCCCGCCGATTTACTATAGTCTTTTATTGTTTTATTTCTACTACTTTGTAGTCGCACCTGAAGACGCTTAATAAGCGAAACATATGTCGTGCTGATTGAAAAATTAAATAAATTTTACTCGTTGTGGACTTCTAGAGTTTTTTACATTAAGTTAAAAGCTTTCTATTTAAGTTTGACATCCAGCGTCATACCAAGATATTTTGCGGTGTCAGTGTAAGAGACTGCATTGCCATTTATATGTATTGGGACTTAGTTTACTTTCTTATAAGTAAAGTTTATGTATGTCGATTTATTTGTATTTAGTTTTATTAGCCATCGTTTAGTCCAGTTTTCTATTGAATTTAAGGCCAATTGTAACTTATTTGCTGCAACTACTTCATTTTCTGCAACAGCCATGTGTCATCTGCGAATGTAGCTGTTAAAGTTTCTGGTACCTGAGGAAGGTCGAATGTGTAGAGTAAATATAGTATTGGGACGAGCACATTTCCTTGAGGAACTCTGGCTCGTATTTCATGTAGTGGTGAATAAGCGTTTTCGTATTTTATTTTAAAATATCGATCGGAGATACGATTTTAATAATTGACTATACGTTGATGGTAGTATTTGGTCTAGTTTGTAATTTAAACCATATAACCAGACTTTGTCGAAAGCTTGTGCAACATCCAAAAATACGGCGGAGCAGACATTATTTTCTTCCATTGCTATTACGATAGTACATATTCGTTATTCTATGCACTTGATCTATTGTTGCATGTTTATATTCCGAAAACCAAATTGATGTGTTGGTATTAGGGCTTTTTCTTCTATGACAGGTTGTAGTCTTTTTAATAGTAATTTTTCAAGCAGTTTTGATAGTAAGGGTAATAATGAGATTCGCCTATATGATGTAACATCTGTGGGGGGTTTACCAGGGGTTGGTATCATTATTATTTCAGCAACTTTCCATATACTTGGGAAGTATTTCTGTATAAAAGCAGCATTAATTATGTGTAATAGTTTTGTAATCGCCCGTTTTGGTAGATGTTTCAATGTTCCTCCATTAATTAGGTCATAACCTATTGATTTCTTTATATTTAGTTTTTGTATTTCATAATACAGTTCTTTCATTCTTACACATGGTATATTAATCTGCTGATCACTTTGAAATACGCTAGGGACACTATTTAGCATAGTTATTGGACTGTCTGATGTAAAAGTTTCTTTCAGATGTTCAGCAAAATTAACTTTTTCTTGATTGCTCTTAGCCCAATTTCCATTATTATTTCGAATTGAAAGTGTATGTGTTTTTGGAGCTTTAAGCTTTCTTATTGCCTTCCACAGAGAATAATCAGTACTGGCATCGTCAGTAAGGTCTTTTAAGTAATTTTGAATATTATTNCCAAGACATCTGTTTTGCACGAAAGCGTCCTCCAAGTATAAATTTGTTCTCAAAATGTAGTAGAATTTCCTGATAATCTGCTCTTTTGAGATTATGTCTCGGTGTTCAGTCTCAGCAGTTTGAACTTTTACCACTGCAGTTTGGTGTTGTTCAGTACTAATTGTTTGGTATTGTTCAAATAGTGGTCAATATTCCTTTTTATGGTATTCACGAACAAGACCTCATAAAAATTACGGGTCATAACAACCCCAATTTTTCGAAATCTGTTATAAAATTTTTTCGATTATCAACGTTCTTGGATCAACGTGAATTGTGTGATAAATATTGTAATGGTTGATGTTTATATACGATTCTCGAGTAAAGTGAGTTTCGGAGATAAGACATATATCAATATTGTTGTTTTTAAGTATTATTGATAGTGTGTTTTGATGCTGTCGAAGACTATTGGAGTTCCACAGCATTATTTTTAGTTGTTGCTCTTTAGACATTTTGATTTCTTTTTTGAATCGCTTCTTGGTTTAAATTGCTTTCGATGAAATCTAGACGTGCATATAATGTTTTTATTGTTTCTTCTTGTTGAAGTATTTTTTCTAGTATTAGATCTAATTTACTAATTTTCTGATTCCTGATGACTTGTAGTTCCTTAATCACAATACATCCTCGGTAGTTCGCTGGATGAATTTCTCCACAGTTGAAACATTTAGCCTGGGTTTCTTTGGCTTTAGTGCATGAACACCAGTCCAGTGTTCACCAGCACATTTAACACATCTCGGTTTTTGTGGCAGTAAGCTTTTGTGTGCCTTTGCACTGGGGCATTTGTTTTGGCTTTCTGTACTCTTCAATTTCGACATGAATTCCTAATATGTTTGTTATTTCATGGATTCTTTTTACATCCTCTGACGGTCCAAATTTCAAGATGTATAAAGGAAGAGGCTCTTTTGTTTTCTATTTTAACATTTGGGTACTTTGCAAATGTTATACTTTATACTTAATAGATCATCTTTGATATCATTAACATCACAGCTTTTATGCATCTTTTTAGCGACCACTTTCAGATTTCTGGTTTGCTTATTTTCATAAGTTGACCAGAACAAATTCTTTTTAGTAAGCATCTTTGATGCTTCTCTGTACTTTTGTTCCGAATTAAGATTCAGTTTTACTGTGCCGTTATTTAGCGCATGTGTTAANATGTTTTTATTGTTTCTTCTTGTTGAAGTATTTTTTCTAGTATTAGATGTAATTTACTAATTTTCTGATTCCTGATGACTTGTAGTTCCTTAATCACAATACATCCTCGGTAGTTCGCTGGATGAATTTCTCCACAGTTGAAACATTTAGCCTGGGTTCCCTTGGCTTTAGTGCATTCGCTGGTCCAGTGTTCACCAGCACATTTAACACATCTCGGATTTTTGTGGCAGTAAGCTTTGGTGTGGCTTTTGCACTGGGGCATTTGTTTTGGCTATCTGTTCTGTAATGTTTAAGCTCTTCTCTTCATTTTCTGTATGATTTCTGTATGGATTTGGAGTGTAATTTATTTAAAATAACTTTTCTCTTTACTTTATTTATTTTTACGACGACTACATTACAGTTCTAAGTTTAACTTACTTCTAATTACCAATATAACAATCACAATTTATTTGTTGAATTGGCGAATATCGCACTCCTCGCACAAGTATGCCTACTCGTGCGTTTTTTTGAGTTTATTGACTTGATTAATTATTGTGCAATATTCGCCAACTACAAATACTTTACTTTCCATTACAGTACTCTTCAATGTTGACACTCAATCCTTATATGTTTGTTATTTCATGGATTCTTTTTACATCCTCTGACGGTCCAAATTTCAAGATGTATAAAGGAAGAGGCTCTTTTGTTTTGTATTTTAACATTTGGGTTACTTTGCAAATGTTATACTTGCGCTCCAATAGATCATCTTTGATATCATTAACATCACAGCTTTTATGCATCTTTTTAGCGACCACTTTCAGATTTCTGGGTTGCTTATTTTCATAAGTTGACCATGACAAATTCTTTTTAGTAAGCATCTTTGATGCTTCTCTGTACTTTTGTTCCGAATTAAGATTCAGTTTTACTGTGCCGTTATTTAGCGCATGTGTTCAAAATCCATCTTTAATTANCAGATTTCTGGTTTGCTTATTTTCATAAGTTGACCAGAACAAATTCTTTTTAGTAAGCATCTTTGATGCTTCTCTGTACTTTTGTTCCGAATTAAGATTCAGTTTTACTGTGCCGTTATTTAGCGCATGTGTTCAAAATCCATCTTTAATTACGCTTTTAAGTAGTTTATAAACGTCATCATATTGTTTGACAGTATAAATTAATATTGGTGGGAGTAGTAATACCTTTGTTTTGTTTTTTACGCCAGATTGTACGGGTTGCTTTTCAGGTTTGCTTTTAATTTCCGAAGACAGTTTAGATGGCGAGGTTGCAGTTTTATCGGAAACGGAATTTAAATTTCAAAAAACCTCAATTTAAATTAATTGTTTTAGGACTTTCTAAAGGTTGGACATTAAAAAAACGTAAACAAATTCCTTTTTTCGTATGATTTAAGCATAAATTAATTATTTCGTAAAAAAACATGACGTTTCTTAAAATTGACATCTAATTTTGACAAATTGTTGTGAAGTTGGTTACAGTTGGTAACATTGAATTTGTGTCACATTGACGTTTAAACTTTATTCAAAAATTTATTTAAAATAATAAATTTGTCCACGAGTACATTATAAATGAGTTTTCTGAAACGAAAGGGTAGTCATTTTTCACAGAGTGAATAATAGCGGTGAATAATAATCATTAATCACGAGTAATCAACTTGATAGACTTAAATACTTATTTGAAACGTCAAAATTTCAAAAAACCTCAATTTAATTTAATTGTTTTAGGACTTTCTAAAGGTTTGACATTAAAGAAACGTAAACAAATTCCTTTTTTCGTATGATTTAAGCATAAATTAATTATTTCGTAAAAAAACATGACGTTTCTTAAAATTGACATTTAATTTTGACAAATTGTTGTGAAGTTGGTTACAGTTGGTAACATTGAATTTGTGTCACATTGACGTTTAAACTTTATTCAAAAATTTATTTAAAATAATAAATTTGTCCACGAGTACATTATAAATGAGTTTTCTGAAACGAGAGGGTACTCATTTTTCACAGAGTGAATAATAGCGGTGAATAATCATTAATCACGAGTAATCAACTTGATAGACTTAAATACTTACTTGAAACGTCAAAATTTCAAAAAACCTCAATTTAATTTAATTGTTTTAGGACTTTCTAAAGGTTAAGGAAACGTAAACAAATTCCTTTTTTGGTATGATTTCAGTATAAATTAATTATTTTTCGTAAAAAAAAACATGACGTTTCCTAAAATTGACATTTAATTTTGACAAATTGTTGTGAAGTTGGTTACAGTTGTAACATTGAATTTGTGTCACATTGACGTTTAACTTTATTCAAAAATTAAAAAAAAAAATAAATTTATGGAATCAATTTCAATAGTAGTCTTGGACAAAGTATAGTATTCTACTCACATATATGCTCGTATAGTAATATACTATATTTTTAGGAATTGATAGTTCGGCTTCGTTAATACATTGGTTTTGGGAGGTTATGGAAGAATTTTCAAATCAAGAGCGATCGTTATTTTTGCGATTCGTTTGGGGGCGAACCCGATTACCTAGAACAATCGCCGATTTTCGCGGTAGAGATTTCGTTATTCAAGTTTTGGATAAATACAACCCCCCCGATCACTTTCTACCAGAGAGTTACACTTGTTTCTTCTTATTGAAGATGCCCAGATATTCCTGTAAGGTAATGTATCTTTTAATTTAATTAACACCCACTTCATTAAATTAAATTAACTCGATTAATGTTGCAGCATGTTTTACAAGAAAAATTGAAATACGCAATACACTTTTGCAAGTCAATAGATACGGATGAATACGCCCGTGTGGCGATGGCCGGCGATTTAGCGGTGAGTTCAAGCTCGGATGCTGATAGTGATCCCGATATGGATAGCACAGCTGATCAGGAAATGTAAAGAACGACGACGACGCCCGTCCCTTAACAACGCGTTCATAAAACTTTCTCTTCTCTTTAATTCCAAAGTAGAAATCGTTCCGCTCGTTATCAATCTTGTTCTCGAATTGAAAAGAAGAACGTTTATTATTATTATTATTTATTTCTCATTGTTTCTTTATATCTATTATTTTCTTATTTTTTGTTGTGCAAAAATGTCAAAAAAAAATTAAAATCTTTTTGTAATTTAAGTCTTTTTGTGTTGTTGTTAGAAAAATTAATTATTGAAATAATTAAATTATTGTTTTTACAAATATGTTAGATGGATGCACTTTTTTTGCTAAAAAAGCCTGGTGCACAACTTTTTGATATTAATTTGCATAATAATCGTGCGCTTGTGCTGTTGTAAATAAACGATCGATTAATTACGGTCCGTGAGATATTGTATTTTTAAAGGAACGTATGGAATTTGTTATCACTCATCATCTAGTCATACCCAACAACAAAAAAAAACAATTTAATTCAATTTCAATTATTGTGTTTTATTTTCATTATCCTACGCTATATAGAAAATTAAATTATAGTGAAAGCACTAATAAGTGGACAGTGACTTATTAAATAATTAAGTAGATACACATACAGATAAATCAATAGTGCGGGGATGGAAGACAGTAGCTTTACTGTTGAGAAAGCTTATTTGAGTATTTTTAGGAGATGTCATGGGATCAAAGAAAAGTATAAATATCTACTCACGTTGAGAAGATATTAGTAAAGAGAAAGACGACTGCAATAACAAAAGGCAACAAGTTTTCCATACCATATTTTTAAATACTTTTAATTGAGGATACAAGACAGTACAGGTATGGGTAAACAACAGCCACTGTTAGACAAGCTGTAACAACTTGCCTAGCCTCAAATGCTCAAAATATGGACAAGTCTTTTGATGAATTGCCCAAACTACCATCGTATTATGCCAGGAAAAGTTCCTCAAAACTGTTTTTGGAACCAATTTTTAAAACTGGTTTACAAAAGATATGGAACTTATTGTGAACAAATTGTTATTTTGTAAGCTTTGTCTAAAAAATGCTTCTACCAACGATTTAAAGATAAAAATGTATATATACACTCTCAAAAAAGATCACTGCAAAACTTGTTGCTCATACATGAAGCTGAATACATTAAACATAGAATTACAAAAGACCGAATACGTAAAAAAAAGAACTTGACAAAAACATTGCTGTGAAAGGTGAATGTATTGCTTTGTATGTAGATCTGCAGGCTGTAAAATTAGCCCGTATTTAGACGCTGGTGACCTAAAAACCCATAACGCTACCTGTTATTAGTTTTCAGAAGATTTTAATAAATGAGCTTTTGTTTGGTGTCTACTAGATTATCTGGAGAAAAAATGTGTTCCAAGTAATGTACTAATTATAATTTACTCGGATGGATGTATATACAAGAATCGCAACAATGTTCTGGCTAATGCACGTCTTAAGTTTTCTATGAAGCTCCAAGTGACCATTTTTCAAAAGTATTTAGAAAGTGGACACACCTTTATGGAGTGCGATTTTGTACATGCATCTATAGAACGAAAATTAAAAAATCGTGAAATACATTTACCTAGCGACTACCTTTCTGTAACCAGACAAGCACGTCAAACCCCTAAACCTCATGAAGCCGTGGATTTGCCATACAACTTCTTCTCCAACTTTTTCTTCACTGAACATTTTAGATACCCATCAATTCGCCCTGGCAGATAAAAAGATGATCCGACGGTTAACGATACAAAAACAATAAAATACAAAAATTGAAGTAAAACTAGATATCCTTGGTTGCATGCTTAAAGATGCAAAATTTCTGCAAATAAATGGAAACATCTTCAGGAACTCAAATCAGTCCTACCAAGAGATGTCCACCATTTTTACGACAATTTACTTCATTAAGCATTATTTTTACTTTGCCGTCTTCCTTTTATTCCTTAACCTTGAGTCAAAAAATCCTAACTCGTAATAAAAAGATAATAATATCATTGGGTGTTTTCTGTCATAAAGTGTAATAATAACTACAAAGTAGCATAAACTCAATATAAATATAAAAATAAGAGTAACAAATCATTATTAGCCTCTTCTGAAAAGTTAGTCTAAAAACAGTTAGGAGATATTGCAGGCTTCGAGTCGATATGTTACCATCAAAGTTGCATTGATTAAAATTATTTTCTGCTATTGATTGCAATTTGGCATATTGATAAACAAAGCTTGGGTTTTTCGAACGCCACTAATATTATTGGATGTTATTATACAAAGTGTTTACCAGAAACGATTAATTTACGCAATGTTTGGAGAACCATAACTTTGTTATTTTAAATGTCCCTTATATCTTCTTGTAATCCTGCCTCTCTTGCGGATTCCAAAAACTGTTTGGCGGAACATTTGCTTTGGGGGTTCCCTATCATCATCCATCTTTTCTAGATGGCCGAGCCACCTTAACCTATTGATTTTGATGGATTGTACAATATTCGGTTCTTCATAAAGCCAGTATAACTCAAAATTGTAACGCCATCTCCATATTTCGTTTTCCTGAAACCCCTGTATATGTAGCGGAATATCTCAAGATTTCGTCATTTTTTGTCATCGTCCATGTTCATATGCAATGAACAATGCAATTCATAATGTTACTTGAAGGTGTTTTCCCAAGTATGTGAAAAACGGCTTTCGTTATTCCAATATTTAAATCCGGTAATAAACAGTTGATATCCAATTACCGTCCTACTTCTATCCATTAAACTATCCCAAAGGTCTTTGAAAAAAATTATCTTATTCATTTTACTTTAAACGAGGATACTCAGATTGATGCAATCTACGCCGACTACTCCAAGCCCTTTGACAAAATCGATTATACTATTCTTGTACAGAAACTTTTCTCCTTTGATATTCTAGATGGTCTTGTTTAATGGATTATGTCGTATTTATCTAACAGAAGTCAGGCGGTTAGGATTGGTAGCTTTGTATCTGGTTGCAAACCTGTCACATACGGTGTGCCTCAAGGCAGTCATCTACTACTTGTAGTTATTGAAGCCCAGGCCAAAAAAATACTATAAAGAAAATCGGAATAACAATAAAATTACGGTATTAGGATGTGTGGAAGTCGCGCCTAAAACATCATGTAGGAAAATTGAATTCCAAGTTGGAATTAAAAATCCCATTCGATACTAAAAAAAGCATAAATATAAACCCTACAAAGAACAAATAGATCACCACTTACACCCTGAGATTGCCAGATTGTTTAATCTTTCTTGTGACATTGTTACCCTAAGATAACTCTTTATCAGTTTCAGTTTTTAGAAAGACCTTTCCCCAGTAGCAACAGCAACTGGAATAGTTGGTAAAATTCTTAATGCTACGGATGAATTTGAAAACTCGCAAGTTAAACTGTTTTTATGAATGAAGTTCAAAACTTCTATGGGTGTTTGCTCAATAGTAATAAATTTGTCAACCTTATTTTACGGCACAAATCTGAGGCAGTAATATCCCTCGGGTATTCTTCATCACTTAAGTCTGTAAGTTTAATTTCTAAGGTTTTACAATGTTGAAAAAGCTCTTATTCAGGCATATCAGTTAAGGTGGAAATATTATGCAAGAACAAACATGTATCTGTATAATTCTGTAATTGTTCAAATGTTTCATGAATTGCTTGTATTGCCTTATCAAGTACAGCCAAGAAAAAAATATTTTAAAATTATGCCGCCTCCTCCTACGGGGTCCGGTAGAAAATCTGAATCCAGCTGTAAGCTTTCAGCTACCAAAGATGTAGAATTACACAATTTATCGGAATGATCATCGGTTCTAAAACTGTTAAGAACCCCTTTTTCAACGATTTTAATTTTTCAATTGAATCTACCAAGTTTATTTTAATATTGACATTTGAAAGAATATCATACCACACAATTATTGCATATAAATTTGAAACATTCCATTTTATTCTTAAGAGACAATGCCTTATGCTTTGTCTTTAAATCAAAAGACATTTTTCCATTTTCACACTATCTACAATTTCCTGTAATCCACCAAGAATTTCTGGTAAATTAAATCGTAAGAGCTTTATTGCATCAATTCGACCTCCCCAACGTGTATCGGATAATGGTTTAAGTGTTAAGCCAATGATTTTATCCTTTATGATTTTCTATGGTTTCGTGCTGGAGGAAAAAAGGTACACCTCTTGTACTACAATTCCGAATAAATCCATTGTTTGCATTGACATACTTGTAGCACCATGCGCTACTAAATTTAAAGTATGCGCGGTCAGGGTACATAAAGTGCTCTTGGATAATTGCTCCAAATGCTCCTGCTCTTCATATTCGCACCATTATCATACCCCTGACCACGCATATGTTTATAATTATTTCTAAAGATTCTCTTAGCATTGTTCTTAGGAAATTCTATACTTCTTACTTGTTCGGGTTTATTTTCGACTAAGAAAACTCTATTTTTATCTTCTAGACATCCGGCCAAAATCCAGGATCTCTTAAATTAATTACTATTTAAATAATAACTCTTGATTTAATTTTGTGTAATATGGATACGATATGTTCTGTACGTTTATGCGATGATCCGCTTGTTGGCATCGATGTCCATCACCCTGCCTTAGAGTTTCGTTATCAGTTTAATTATCAACAGCTTTTGCGGGTTAGTCCTTGTACCAAATATGAATTTAGTCGAGCTGACTTCAATAGTATTAAGAGTGCGTTGCTGAGTGTGGACTGGGATGTAATACTTAATAATCGTGATGTTAATCAATGTGTTACCGAATTTTATGACCATGTTAATCGTATTATTTTTGATAATGTACCACGTGTTGCAGCCAGTAAATACCGTTATCCCAGTTGGTATTCATCCTCTACAATCAAAACCATTAAAGAAAAATTAAATATCCACAAAAATGGAAAAAGTGGGGTAATCACTCGGATTATTTATCGTTTCAACTTTTACGTAGAAGATCTAAGACGTTGATCTCGAGAGATTATAATATCTATTTAACTAATATACAATCTGACTTAATTAATCATCCGGCTCATCTTTGGTCATATGCAGCTAATAGAAAACGTGGCAGTGGCGGTGTACCGGCTCGTATGGTATATAACGGTGAGTCCGCAACTGAGTGTCACCAGATTGTGGAGTTATTCTCTAAATATTTTAGTTCGGTTTTTATTGATAGTAAAAATCTGCAACAAGTACGTCAAACTATATTAAATAACTTTTGCCCCTGGTTCTCGGTTGATGATGTTTTG